ACTTTTTTTTGTGAATTTAAATATTTAAAGGTTTAATGCTAAGAACATAGAACAAACTTGCGAGTAATAAATAATATCTCCAATAAAAGTGGCCATGTACAATTGAATCAAACCCAATATTGCTTATTTTTCTCGTCTCAATAAAATAAGCAATAGAAACCTACTCTTGTTTGCTTTAGGGCCCATTTGGGGCAGCTTGTTTGTGCGGTGGGAGTTTTAAAAACGCCCACAAAGAGTTTGGTTAGCGCGTTCATGATACGGTAGGAAATCGCCGAACGAATCTCCTTCGTTATTCGGGGTCGCACCGCTCATCCCGCTTTTTCCGTATCGTTAGGGATTATTACCCTGAAGCCCTTTCGATCCCGTCCCCAAGCGTCCCGATATGTTTCCTACCTTCTCTCGCGATCCCGTCCCGGTCCTCAACATCTGCACCTCTTTCTCTTCGAAGATCTCCGCTTCTTTGGGTAGTTTGCATCCGAAATCCTTACCGACAAGAGCTATGTCTTCAAGCAATTCAGATCCAGGTCAAAAAACAAGGTAAATCTTTTCCTGTCGCATTTGCGATTCAATTTCCTTTCTCTTGATATCAATTAGGGCTCAAATGTGGTGGTTCTTCCTATGTTATTTATTCTGACCACAATTTTCTGGTGTTTCTTTTCTTTTTCGATGTGCTTTGACTGCAACGTGAAGAATCCCACCTGGGCTTCCGTGACGTATGGGATCTTTCTCTGCATCGACTGCTCATCTGTCCATCGCAGCCTCGGCGTTCATGTTAGCTTCGTTAGGTTTGGATCTTGCGAATCCTTACAATTCTTTTTCCTTAAATTTGTAGGGCTTTATCTTGGTCGATTTTGCAGTTTTTCTTAAGATTTTATTTTTTATTTCAACTAATTTAGTCCAATTTTGTATCTCAAGTTGTTCAGTTCAACAAAAGCTAGCCGCACCTCACATCCCATCCTTTCATCTAGCTGATGTCATTATACTCGATCGCTTTATAATGTTGTATGGTTTAAGATTTTCAAGTACCTTCTCAATGGGATTGAAAGTGTTTATGAATCTTTCCAAATCCAACTGTTGGAAATCAAGGAGATTGATGTGCTTGTTTCATTTCCAGTTAGCTTATCTTTTGTGTTCGAGACTTCTACCACTTCTCTATTTTGCAACAATTGCTTTCCTAAATTGTTAGATTCTAAATACAATTAAGGAATTGGAATTATTGGCGAATTGCTGCCATTGGATTTAATTAAAAATTGCTATTCTAGTAAAATTTTATAGATTTTGTGTAGTTTATGTGTTGGTTTTTGTTGTTTCTATTATTTTCCCCATACAGCTTTGTTGCAAACAGTTTAACAACTCTCGGGGCAGAATAGTCATTTATCCAACTAAAGCTCCCAGTAAACTGTTCTGAATAAGTTGCCTCAAACAGCAAACCCAACTAAAGCTCCCAACCATATCAAATAACAACTACTGCTGATAAACAACTACTGCTGATAATCTGCAGATAATAAGTTTGATTATGTCAATGACAATAAATTTTCAAAATACTTAAAACTATCTTAGCAGCAGAAAAATTCAATATTACTCTAAATCTAATACATATTGAAAAGCATGTAACGAAAAAAATGAATCATTCTTTTTTTGGGATAATTACAAACAAAGCACCCGAAGCATTGCTAATTACAAAGTCTAGCAACTAGGTGATATTTTTGGAATACCGAACCGATGTAGTTACGTGTGCCACGAACAAAACATTGAGAACTTGATAAAAATAAAAAATATAGGTTGGGGTTTTATCATGAATTTTAATCTTTGAGTGAAAATTTGAAAAATGGATGAAAAAGGGTGCTTAGATTTGTAAATAGCAATGTTTCAGGTGCTATGTATGTAACTGCCTCATTATTTTTTATATAGTTTTAATGAAGTTAAGAATTTAGTGTAATTTTGACATTTTCCAAAATTTTAGAGAACATTAATAATTTATAAATTTTATTTATACATTCATTAACAGACTTGTCTCATGATTTAAAAAATTGAGCTCATCAAAAAATTAATTATGATATGATAAGTAAAGATAATTTTCTTTAAAAACTATTTAATTTCAACCCCAATAATACTAGATCTCCAACAAGTCTTCCATTTATTTCCTAATGGTCATTCAAAATATTTTAGCTTACCCAATTAATTGTTAACTTCGTGGTTGTTTGTTAATATTTTATTTTATTTTATTTGCATTTTGGATTTGAAATAAAATATGATCAGCATATTAACAATATTCTTGTTTGGCGAGCAATAAGAAGCAAGGGTGAGCGAGGCATACAACAGCTTGCCATAGTAATATTTGTTATTAAAAAAATATTCAAAACACCAAAAAAATTATGTAAAATGCTTTTATCTATTTATTTAAAAAAAAGTACAAATATGTGCCACATACACAAAGTAAAATGCCTTTAAAAGCAAATAATAATAATAATAAACCCAAACTTGCCCTACCCTATTTTTATAAATAAAAAAAATAGAAGTAAATCCATAAAACAAAAACATAAAAGTGAATCAAAAAAAACCCCCAAGCAAAACTTATTCAGGAGCCAAGAGGTATTGCTTGTCAATAAAAAAATTTATCAATATTCATAACCTGATCAAAAGAAATATCAGGATTTATTATTACATCAAATATAACACTTCAACTTTGATTTTTTTAGTTATAGCGCCATTTTAAACAACTTAACATGTTCATCAATATAATTAAAATCAATTTCCTGCTAATGAGACATGTGAGTTGCCTCTAAATTTTCAATTCTTTCTTTAACTTGATTTATAACATCACATTTGATTTTTTTTTATATTTTGTTTTTTTTTTTAATTTGATCCCCTTGATTTTAGAAAATATTAAGACATAATTGTAAGCTTTAATACTAAATATAGAAAGAGATGCAAAAACCAAGCAAAAAAAAAATTTTTTGACAATATTCATTACCTGATCAAAAGAAATATCCGATCTATTATTACATCAAATATAACACTTCAACATTCAATTTTTTAGTTATAGCGCCATTTTGAACAACTTGACATGTTCATCAATATGATTAAAATCAATTTATTGCTAATGAGACATTAGCCTCTACAGTTTCAATTATTTCTTTAACTTGATGTATATCATCACATTTGATTTTTTTATTTTTTCTTTCCTAAATTTAATCCCCTTGATTTTAGAAAATATTACGACATAAATGTAAGCTTTAATACTAAATATAGAAAGAGATGCACAAAATTAAGCAGCATACACACACAATTTCACAGCCATAATCTCTTAATTTTAAAAACTACTCATAACTTGTGACAAAATTTAAAAATCCTATACATTTTAAAATAAATAAAAATTCAATAGTTTTCTACTAAAAACAAGCGTGGAAATTTGAAACCACTACACACATGCAACTAATTGAAAATTACAAGATCGAAGAAACCCAAATTGCATCAACTTTGAATAAAATCAACCAAGCATTATAATCAACTATTAATTTTAAGAAAAGAAATAAAGTAGAATGAAAATTTCATCAAATCAAACCAATTTCTCAATTGTGCAAAGAGAGACACTTCAAATTTCCTACTCGAACAAAGAGCAGACCATAGGGAAAAGAAGAAACAACACATTCAACTAAATATTTATATTTAGAATAACTCCATTAATTTTACATGCACCTAAAGCCCGTTGTATAATAACCAAACTCACTTGATTTTCGTATATATTAAGTAACAAAAAGTTGAAACAAACAAAAAAAAAAAACAGTCCAGAAACCCCTCCAGCTGTAGAAGGCTAATTTATCGTTCAAAATTTCACACAGAATTCACATAAAATGAAAAAAAATTTCAAAAAGAGAAAATCCGCAGAATCAAATTACCAAGCCCAATGCCAAACAAGGTGCTAAATGAGCTTGATACGAAAACTACAGCAACAAAGTAACCTCCCATCACCCAAATTCCTAGTCGCAGATGTACTAAAACTAGTAAATCTAAATAAATAGGATACATGTAGCCATAATAGACCAATCTACAACCACAAAAAAGAATTAAAGCTTAATAGAGAAACAAAACCAACAAGAATAAAAAACTACAGTGCACCTGAACCTAATATCATTAGTACACATAAATTATCGAGTGATACAGCAGGCATGTACTAAAGAGATTAAAAAGTATGAACGCACAAAAAAAAACACAATATTAAACAAAAACATCTTTCAATGCGTTGCAATTTCAACAATAGTAGGCATTGAGACGTACATCTAGAGTATTATAGTTTTTTGGTTTAATTTATCTAAAATGCAACCAAACAGGAACTGAATACCATAGTTTTGCCTTGCTATCAATGCAAGCCTATCTGCCTATATTTTGCTCTATTTGCATTAAAACTGATGCACAACAAGCATCTCATTTTAAGATGATCATTGTCATGTCCATCCCTGACAAATTCTTCTATTCATGCCCAAACTTTTCTCCACTATTATATCCCAAACAAAAATGTTTGCACTTAGTTTTAATCATCACTGCTTCAAAACTTACTTCTTTTTTTTTGGTGTTTACATTGTCTTAAGTTCATTATGACCATTTCTTCAACAATCAACAATTATTTTAAGGGCACAAGAAGTTGTTACAATCTTACTATTGCCAAATTTAATCTGTGGCGCGGCTACTACCAAAAAATAAACAAACGTGCCAGCTTCAAGATATATGTTTATGAAGTTAATAGTTGCCTTGAAAACATTGTTAGCAGCATTGAATGTTGCAAATATGAAACCCCTAATTGATCAATCAAAGAATTAGAGCTGAGTGAATTTATTTAAATCTGAAAAACAAAACCTTTAAATATGAGGTGTGTGTGTGTGGTGGGGAGCCATAGGGGAAGGGAATACAAAAGTTAGGAAGGAATCCAATATACAATTCTAATATGCAAAAATTCATAGGTAGATATTAGCATTAAGAAAAGTTAAAGCTTGTACTATCACCTTTGCATCGCTTGCCGAGGCAAACGTTACATAACCAAAACCACGAGATCGACCAGTTGACCTTTCCTGTTTCACATATTTAGCTGATATAAGAGATCATCTAGAGCGGCTTATGGAATAAAAAACTTGTATGGAAAAAACTCAAAAACTGACTCATCATAGCATGGATTTTCAAGCAAATTAAGATAAAAAAACATAAGGAATTTACAATTAGCATATGATATTTCAAGGAAAAATATTAATATAACAATCAAATATAAGAAATTTATATTTATTAAGAAATTTAAAATGAAAGGAATCACTGAACAAAATAAGAGTACTTGTAGGATTTTTACTACGACTGGAAGTAAGGCATTTAATAATAGAGCATTTAAAAAAATCAAAACAAACGTAAAACTTCAGCAGTTAAGGCCAACATTTATATGTATCCTAAGAATAAGCTACACTTAACCAAGACCTGAAATTATTTCAATATTAATCAAGCTAATTGGAATTTTAATGGTTTTTTTTTTTTTTTCAAAACTGCCAACGTAAAACTTCTGTTTAAACAGCACTGCAGAGAACCAGTAACATCAATCCATTTGAGTTGGGCTCAATTTCAGTTTCTGATTCTACATTAATCAATAGACATAGGTATGGTAAGAGATAATAGTTAAAAAGATCTGCTGACCACCAAACTAATTTAAACTTGAATGATTTTTAACACGGTATAGATCTAGAGAAAGCCCAGCAAATAATAATGACCAAAAATCGTTTCAGTTGAAAATTGAACGAAACAAAAACTGATTAGGTTTTAGTTCAGTGAGGTTCACTTTCTAATATCATATATCCAATATGTTCATTTCCCTCAGTTTCAGGTTTGAGAAGCATAATATAATTATCAAACCAAGTTAGTATGCATATATATATGTATGTATATATATAATTTTGGTTAGTCAATTTAAAAAAGTTATACATAATTTTGGTTAGTCAATATAAAAAAGAAAGGGCTAACGTCAACTTTTTTTTTTACTCATACTGCACTTTACAAGCCAAAACAAACTATCATATTGTTGCATAGTGATTCAATGGGTTAAATTCTATTACCGAAGTTTTCGGTTTGCAAAACATAATACTATCAAACCAAATCAAATTAGATTATGTATGAACTACCTTGACTCACCCAATCTAAAGCAAAGAGTTGACATTAATGTTATAGCCTACAACCTTTTTATTTTCTTTTTTAAGAAAACCAAATAAAATTAAAAATAACAATTTAATAAAAGTACACCTAAGCACTTTTTTTTTGTTAATTCCATTAAAAATTAATTGAAATTGAAACAAACCTCACATTGGTCAGTCTGATTTCAATTTTCAAAGTGTAGGCCGAATTTGGTTCCAAATAAAGACAGGTTTAAGCCAACAAAATCACTAATATCTCAAGCCCAATCTAGTTAAACAACCTGAACTATTTTACAATTATATAAGGAGGGAAAGAAATGTTTCATGAAGGAAGTTGGAAGTGGTAGGTTTACAACTAGAGATGATTTGTCCAGATTATAAAAATGTAGAAAACCTATGCAAAAATTATAAGTCTATAATGTCAAGTTCAAGCTCATGATTGTTTGTTTAAAGCACAATTGTCCTCATATCAGGGTTTTCAAGCACAAATTATTCCAATGTCAAGGTATTTTCAGGATGGACTACTTGGACAGAAAGGCAGGCTGAACGTAAGGATACGACAAAAATGAGGGAGGTTTGAACAGTAAGCATGGAAAGGGGAAAATTGTGAGGAAAGCAAAGAGATGAGTAGAAGAGTTAAAGAAGATCAAGAAACAATGAAACAGAAAGCTAAAAAATTGGTACATCATTTAATACCGCCCAAGGTACGTCATGGAGAAAATAAGTGTATACAGAATAGTTAAAAGGTATATGATCAGCAAGGACAAAGATGAAAATATTATTGAGTTTCATTGTTTATGACAAAAATATGCATGCAAAGATGTATAGTTGTTAATAAATTGGATTGACATGCATCATTCCTCAGAAAATGCTTGATCCAACTTCAAATTGTTGGATTTAAAGTACAAAATCAAGCTAAATGGTGCAAGCAAGATAACAAACCAAAAGACTCAAACAATTAACCTGTCAAAGATAACCAAATGAACAAATATGATAAGGTGAAAGCAAACGTATAAAATCAATGCATTGTAGGAGATCTGGCACAGAAAAATGGTTCCTACTTTATTCCAACCAATCAAACAAGGACAGCAATAACTCATGCAACAACATTAAGTAGGGAATACATACTTTGATCTCACATCACTCGACGACATCAAAAATTCATGTCAACTCACTTGTCGAGCACTTCCCATGCCAACAGATTTGTGATTTCATAACTGAATTTGGCTTTCAAATTTTAATCATAGCATCATGCTCGAACATCAAGCAAAGATCTAATCATTTATTTCAAATCCCAACCACACTAATATTAGGACCCAAGGCATCCGTCAATCCATTTTTCATTACTAATAATTGGTCCAACAAATATCACAAAGGTCAAGTAGCTCGATTATCCACCTTCAATTGACTAAATAATCAAAAAGCTCTTAGATGGGCATATTTTGATCTGACACAAATCTCATTAGTATTGGCACATCCTGTATGCAATTTGCCAAGGGTTTATGAAAGATCATTAAGAAGCATGTAAATATTAACATAGTAATAGAAACACGGTAAAAGTTATATTTCATTAGAAGCAAAAACATGCTATTATAGCAAATTTTCATGTGACTTTCCACGTAAAAAAACACCCATCTAGTAGTTATTTCCAAGAAAACGCCCACTTAATTGGTGTCTTAAATGAAAAAACAATCAATCAACATTTCCTTTACGAAAAAATTAGTTTCCAACTTGATGCTAAACTTAACCATGTAAGTTAAGCTCCAAAAATCGAATCAACATATTCATGGGATAAATAACCTAGGCCAAATTCTAAAACAGAATTTTTTAAGCATTTGAAGTTCTTATATTTTTGCAAGTTCAAATAAGTTTTGGATAAATATTGTGACATTAGTGAATTTTTTAAAAAGAATAATAATTAGAAATAATATTTTTTTTTTCAAATGAGATGCGCCCATTGAAGGACCTACTAGCTTTATTGCATAAGCAAATCATGCCTACGTCTGGGCGTCTAACATCTGAAGTAACTGTTTTGATGGTGGCGTTATAACCAATTCATCATTTATAGATTTTTCAAATTAAACAAATTTATAAAAAATCATATATTTATAACTAATTCAAATTTCTAGATACTCTCACTACACTATTTTGCTTGATTGATTATACAAGTTTACGGGATTTTTCACGGCTTATAACGGTTTTCTTCCCTAAAAGATTATTTTTCTCATGTAGTCTTTGCTTTGTACAGTAAAGTACTCTCGTCACTCTGCAAATTATAAATATTTGTAATAGCCTTTTCAATTTCATGTCCAATCAAATCTCAATTCTTTACAGCTATCTCTAACTGCCTAAATAAGAGTTTTATCATTCTAATCAACACTAAATCTTCACATTTAATAGCTGATATAAATAAATAAATATATATATATATATATATATATATATTGCCTTCAACTCCAGCAAACTCTCTATGTTGGACTTTCTTCCACTATCAAATATTTTGCTTTGCATAAGTTCGATCATTTTCCAAGTAGATGGCATCCGGGTGCACTTAAAATGCAAGCAAAGGATCATATAAACCTCTTTTATTCCCAAAGATACAGCCGCAGCTACTATTTTAAAGGAAAACAAGCTTATATGAGGCCTAGTTTGAAAAGATAAGGACAGGAAAATTGGATTGCCCAAGGAAGAACCATATCAAAAATTGAACAGCGCAAGCTTATGTGATTAATAAGACATGTTTTTTAAAAATTAAAGGATATATAGGCTGTGGTTGATGATATTAACTTCTAGAACAAATATAGATACAAGAGTGGAACAAATTGATCAATGAATAAATAATCCAGAGTTAAAGTTGCAATATGAATATATTGTATTGACCAGAGCTTGCTCAAAACCCAAATAAGTGAGCTAATGAAATAGCGCGATGTTAATGCAAAACACAAGCATTACAAGTTGCCGATGCGAGTGCAACCAGAGGCTAAACTCAGAATTACGAATACTGATAATGAATGTTTTTAAAAGGTTGGGTTGGATATTAGAACATAAGAAGTTTATTGAGATAAATCATCGTTTAATTGATAAGATTCCATAAGATTATAGATACATTGATGAAGCAACATCCAAATATATAGGGATGTGATATGCCGGATTTAAACAGCAAAGGGATTATATATTGAGAGTTGGAAAAAAGTAAGGACTAGTTCATATCAAACTAGTCCTCTCATTTGATTCTACAAAAACTTTCAAATGCTAAGAGACAGAACTTCCTAACTACAGAGAACTTATACAAAATCTAAAGAGAATTTAAAAAAATATTGTAGTCTAGGTCGCTACTTCACACAAAATGCGAGTCTTATGGAAGGAAAAAAAAATTGCATTATCAGCAAATGCACGTAAAAGATTTATAAAGCATGTTAGGTTTAGTAATACTTATGTCTTTATTGAGTTTATTATTCACATATGGATACTTATATCACAAACTATTGAGACAACGTCTAAACTGTGTCTAGGCAAACTAGGATTGATGGGATATATGTCGATGACAGCCAAAAAAGTGTAAGTCAAGTTGTGGGTGTAGGAATGTCCTAAAAATATGAGTTCAAATGAAACCTTCAAAAGCACTCCATTAAAGATCAAAGCATGGCCAACACAGTGCTTTTGCACCTAAATGGCAACCATTGAAATAACTAGTGCTCCTAGTATAACATATGAAGAAAGTCTTGCATATGTAAAAGGGCCTCCATAGCCATAAGTAAATCTTCATGGAGCATTGTGAGATGACCTTCATAGAGTGTCGGGAGTTGATACTTGTGGAGCATTGAAAGTCAATCTCTGTGGATCATAATATTGCTTGGAGATTTTATAGGTCTTCTCTTTGTAACTACAATGCTTTATTTGTTGAT